GAATGCTATTAAAAAACATAAGCTTTCGTCCATAAAACGTTTTTCGAGAGACTTCTCGAGGGGCCCTTAGTGTTGTTCTTTATTTTGCACACCGTGCGTCACGGTCCTGCAAAGGGCTATCAAAAGCTGGGAGTGTTGGAGTGCGGAGTTGGCAGCTCCCCGAAATTTGTCAGTTGTTCATACAAACAGCTGAATTGCTCGTTCCAAATATTTAATTGAAATATTTCGGGGAGACGAGTCAAAATTCCTATTGTTTAGGGCTATCATTCTATCCAATCCTCTGTACCAATGAGAAGGTGCACCATATGGGCATGTGCATAAGGGCAAAGGCAAAATTCACATTTTATTGCTTTTTACCAATGGCGGCACCAGCCACTAAGCTCTTGGGGGGGGGGCAAACAAAAAATTGTAGCCACGTCATTTTTACCACCAGAAAACGCTTTTTTACCAGCAGGGAACGCGAATTATATCAAAAGGGAACACATAAGACTAATGTTTGACTACGTAAAGGCAGTTTGAAAATCACAAGATTACATCACAAAAGTTTGCTGTCAAAATATGATCCCTCCCCCAACATTTTCTCATCGAATTTGGACGAAAAAAACTGATCCTGACGAGAACTGGGGGGAGCCTGTCCCAAGTCCCCATGGATAAATAAGGTGCCACTACTGCTCGTTACAACATTTAATCAAACTCATTATATATTATAGTTGCATCATATGAACTAGAGTTTCATTTTCACTCTTCGCTTGACCCCCTTTTCTCTAAATTTTGCTCGTCTTTTTATTCGAGATTGGCTTATCCCCATAAGTGCTACGAATGTTCCCACCACATGATAACCACATAGTAAATTATGCGATATGAGAACAATGACATTGACTCTGAACTGCGCATGTGCATATGATGCAAAATTTTGAAAAGCCAACCGAAAACATCCTGCTCGTAGTGTTTTAAATTTACGATATTCTTGAAACGCAGCTAAAGTAATGTAGGGTTTTTATTTTCTGACAATCATTTTTGATCAAAAATTCACATTTATGCCATTTAATCACTTTGACGTCTTAACAATAACTGCATTTTTCCATCATAGGCCTGGAGGATCCTTGTAGCAAAACACGTAGTGCAGTTTCAAGGAAATGGAAGAAGAAATAAGAACAAGGAAGATAATGACGAAAGTAGAGCAATTGCCCCAGCCATGGAGTAGTTTGAGCACTTTACTACTCCTGCTTACTGCTAGAAGATGGGGCACATTCTTCATATTCTGACAATCAACTAAGACACTGCTCAACGTTTCTAACCAAAAACTATGAAATTTGAAGTTAAATACGCACATTCAACCTTGCAAAATCCAGTAAGATATTTTTTCTTTGGGAGAAATATATACAATACAAAAGACAGGGGCGAAACTACCGGGGGGGTGTGGGGGGGTGTGACACCCCCCCAATCCAAAAAATAGTCGATTTCGCAGGGCAATCGAAGATTTCGCAGGGCGCCAAGAGGAGCTTTGTTGCCACGCAGAAATGCCACCTCTGAAGTTCGTAAAGGGCCGTTCACGAATTTTGAAATGGAAATATTATATTTGTTATAAACCTCCCTTCCTGACATTGCATTTTAGAGAACGGAAAAGGTATGTCAGGAAGAGCTCCGTTATTAGCAAAGCGAAAGCATTCCTTACCGAAAGTCATAGCCAATGGATGCAATGATTGATGCATATGTTTATGAGGGCAAGATTGAGTCCATATAAATTAATTTAAGTTGTAAATTATTTTCATGACAAGCACGGCGTCACTGGGGAGGAATAAGGGGCTGAAGTCCCTCATTTTGGTCAAGATAGGAATTTTTTTATCATTTTTTCTATTACTTTTTAACAGTGCATGAACTAAAAAACATAATAAATCGTTAAGATACCAATTTTGTTTCATCTAATTGCTAACTTTTTCACGTATATTTTTTTTTATTTTTCTTTTATTTGCATTAATTCAGTAAATCATTTTCTGTATCATTGCAATGTTTTAATTTTGGATGTGTAAACATGGCCTTCTTGATACAAGAAACTCATATGTTCCAACCCTCCCGATATGACCAGGAGACTCCCGATTTCAGAGGTCATCTTCCGACCTCCCGACAATTAAAAAATCCTCCCGATTTTTGAAAAAAACTTATAATAAAAATAAAAAGCTGTTATAACATAAAGAAGAATCAAGATCACTGTCAACAGTGCAACTTTTTCATAACGGACGAAACGATTCGATGTATTCACAACATTACAATAGTTACGACATCGGATAAAGCCAGACGCCAGACTGCCAGAAGCCAGACGCCAAACTTTTTAACATTTGTTGTTGTTTATTCATCATAAAAGATAACCTTTCTTATAATTTCAAACTAATCTAAGTGACATAAAATTGCCAAAAATTTTTGTAGGAGTTAAATCGGGGTTCGCATGGGTTCGCATGGGTTCGCACTGATTGCAAGAAAACATTTCCTATCAAAATATAATCATAATTGTGCACAGTGGCGTTTCTAAGCCCAGAACTTTTTCGGCCTCTTCATTTGCCACCCCCTCACTTTCTAAGAAAGTTCTTCGATATTACTGACCTATTGATTACGAAGAACTGTTTTTCTATTAACATATTACAGACAGAGAAAATAAAGAATCCTGAGACATTTTGAGGCCTCAGAAATGACAAATTGTCAGGAGCTTCCGGGGGCTTCGTCCCCTGGACCCCTACCAGGGCGATGCCCTGGACCCGCTGGGGGGCTCAGAGCGCTCCCCAGACCCCCAGCTCTAATTTTTCGCTCGCTCCGCTTGCGATGTCCCCCGCTTTTCTTTCTCTACAGGTTGGAAGGTATGGAAACTGCACATTTCTGTTCAGGAAAAAAATTTCTCCCAATCAAAACAACATCTTCCTCTGTCATTCACAACTACGTGCAATCTGAGATGAAAGGTTGCCGTTTCTTTCCTTCCCCAACGTCTAACACTAGAGTTTTAGCATGACATCCCCCTTCCTATTTTTCCCAATAAACAATCATATTTTCAATAAACATCAGTTCTTTTAGCACAATAGTATTTTGCTAAACTTTTGTCTGAAAGATGCTTTTTAGCCCTTTTACAAGGTATAATTTCAAAAAATTTCTTCACGTCGGACCCAACCATGGTGGGTCCTCCTACCTCACTAAACTCAACTTTTAGCCCCACTGGGCTAAATTTTGTTGCGCTGTCTACATCATGTACCCCCCCCCCCCATTTAGCTGTTTATTAGCTTAATTTTGCAAACCAACATTAAATGAAGTGAATATAAAAAAAACAATTTACGCTCACGTAGAGAAATAGAAATTTCATAGGCAATGATATTTCAAGTTTGTTTCTATTGCTTAGAAGTTTGTCATTGGTAAAGACCAGTGTACACTGGTAAAGCTTTCACTAGTAACCTATAGACAAACCGTTGCTACTAGGTCTGCAGGGCACCACTCAGTTTTGCAGGGCAGAAACCCTTTTCACCCCCCCAAAACTATTGGCCAAGTTACGCCCCTGACAAAAGATCAAACGATCGCGAAGAGGGCAAATAATGATAATGATAACAATGATATCTCGCCGAATCTCCGTTTCGGAGCAGTTACTTTAATACAAACACAGAATTGCCAGGAAATATGTCATGTGCAGTATAGTACCACAGGCTAATTTTCACTTAAGTTTGAAAAAGTTCAACCAATCTCTCGATTTCTATCAGGCCATTCTGCGTTGCTTTCTAAAATTTGTTCCATTCCTGGAAGGTGTCTTTTGAATTTTTTGCATTGCCATAAATGTTCTATGCTTTCTTCGTGCATTCAACACCTTCTGCAACTTATATTATCATATTTTCCTTTGCAATTAGCTTTTAAATCGGTCATGTTTTTTTAATGCTGGTTGGCTGATTAAGAATTTGATTTCATTAATGATTGCCTTTGCTGAATTTTTCCTGCTATCAATACATTCCTCTACTGTTCCTCTGCTATTCTTTATATCTCCTAGGTATTTACATTTGCTCACCTCTTTTAGGGTTGCCTCATTTAGCTTTAGTTGCTTTATCTTTAGGGCAAATGAAACAGAATAAACTTTCATGCCATACCAAGGAGCGGATCCAGTAAAAAACCTTACTGAATTCCAGGCCAAGACGGGGGTTTCTAAGATTTTCGTCAAAATTGCTTTTTATACCGCCCTCTATCTGTTCATAATGTTGTCTCCTCTGAGCTTAAGTATGGAAATATTTGCATGAATTATGTGTAGCCTCTATTCCCTTATCACAGAGTGCCCGCCCATATTGTAAGTTAGGCATTCTATGTGTGATCATGAAGAAGATTTACCCTATTTATCTTGAAAGTCCTCTTTTGTGCACGGTACTTTTTTGGCAAAGCAAATACCATTGCCCTGGATTTACAAATTTGTCCACAGCTAAATGTTAAATGTATGAATCCGCTATATAATGGCTTCTGAGAGCAATGCCGAGCTCAAGGGCAGGTCAAGTTCATGTGCCCCCAGAGCCATGCCGAGAGCCATGCCGAGCCCAGGGGCAGGCCCAATTCATGGACTCTTAGCTTTATAGGCCCAGGGGCTTTTGCCCCCTTTTCCCCTTTCTAGGTTGTCCTACAGGCTTGTTCCTGAAAGGAGGTGGGAGGAATAGGGGGCTACAGGGCCATAGCCTGTGGTCCAGATCCCTCTACTTTCAAGTTAGGGGTCTGGAGCACAGGCTACAGGGCCAACGCCACGAATTTGAAGGTGAGGGGGGCAAGGCTAGCAAAAATAGGGGGCCAATGCTTTCCCCCTCTTACTACAGCTTTAAAACTATTTGCTTCGCAAAAAAGTGGGGGCCATGACCCCTCCAGCCCCCCCCCCCCGGTGGCGTGGGTCCTTGGCTATCGGGGAATATCGTGACCAAATATCTACAATGTACCTTCGGCACTTCTATATCTTTGAAAATATTTTTTTCGGGCCATTGCGAGGCCTTACTGAGCATGCTCAACCTTGCCTCCAAGAATTTCTAAAAGAGGAAGTACCGGTCACATGATTACTCTGAATTCACTTTCGCCCGAAAATTGCTATTTTCCGTGGACTTTGGTTCAAGACTTTCCGTACATGACCGCTGTAGTCATTTTGGAATGATGTGGCATCCAAGCAGATTTCTAATCCGTAATTTGTAAGGTCAATTAAAGTTTAAACAAGAGGTTTCTTCCATTTATACGTTATCATTGGTTACAGTTTGTAAGTAGCATGCTAGATCTTCCGGTTAATTCGTATTCCTGTTAGAATTTTTTTTACGTCTTAAGCATAAATGCCAAAGATTTACGATAACGATTGGGTCTCTCAGTGGGGTTACTTGTTCTTCTATGTACCCTGCTAAAATAGGGGTATGTTTCCTCCATGCACGTTTTCCCGCCATGAAAATAACCAAATAAATGCTACCATTAACATAACATTGAAGCAAAGAATTTTCGGATTTTGCCAAATATTTTGCACATTTGGTTGAGAATGACATATTTTCAATTAAATTTTGAGTTTATTATACACTTATAGCCCTCCTCCATGCTTGGTTGCACATTTGAAACTGTATGGCCAATGTTTGGTCATGACATCTAAAGTTTTGCATCACTTGACAATATTTATGCAGTTTTCTTCACTGAAAACCAGTTTTTTACCCTAAAGTTGCAAAAATCTCTGACGACAAAAACATTAATCAAATGACAAACCACGATTGCCCCTATTACTAATGTCCAAAATCAAGTTTCTGAGAACAGCGGATAGGAGAGAGGATTAAAGGCTCATGACTGCTGATGCCTGCAACAGGCCTGGCACTTAGCAAGAGGAAAAAGTAAATTTCAAGCAATAAATAATAGAATAAACTTTTTCAAACTTAAAAAAACTTGCACATTTGAAGTGTACACACATGCTCAAGTACACACTTGCAAGCCTGGGATTTTGTTGATCCACAGCCAAGAAATCATCGAAAGTTGACCGATTCTTTATACAGATTCCCAATCAGAATCAGACTTCTAGATGTACCCCATAACCTAGAGTAGAATTTGATTACTGGAATAAACACATCTTATAAGATAATGTATATCCATCTTGTTTCCATTTTTAGGTCTAGATGCCTTTCTTTGACACAAATGTAGGACCTCAACTACAATAGATCTAAAGGGGCTTTTGCCCCTCAAAAATGATTAAAATCTTTTGTTTACAATAAAAAATCCTTTTCTATTTACATAAAGGAAGATAGAAATTGAATGAAAATTCCATCAGCTACCGCTTGGCATCTGCCATTCTTTGTACCTTGATCATCACTTCTCTTGTGCAGCTGTCCAAGCTATTTTCTACCTGCTACATGAAATCACAACAAATTTGAAATTTAATTTTCAGTTGACATTATAACTTCTGCCATACCTAGTATTTGTTTAGATACTTAAAATATTGTGATCCTAATGTATCCATTAAAATTTTTCTGTCGCTTCCAACTGCCTTCTTTCCATTAATAGTTTCGGATCACCATATCATAAATGGTTGAATTGGACCCCCGTTCAACTTGTCCCAACCATGGAAATAAACATTTTTGATAGGCCCCCACACTAAAATAAGCCCCATATTTTAATCAGCTCCTTGAGATAATTGGAGAAATTGAAGTATGGTTTTTTTTACTGGAAGCTTGCATAGATTTCCTGTGTGAAAACATAGAGGTATACTTCTATTTTGAAATGTTTCTTGAAAATAGAAACATAATTTTCAAATTTAATTTTTTTTTCCTTTTAGTTTCAACTAAATGTTTAAAAGAGAGAGAGAGAATAATCAGCATAGTTCATATTTATTAAGAAATATGGCAGCTCGCAGAAAACCAACAGACCCTGATTACACTGTCCAGGCTCAGCCCAAGGTTGAAAAGCTCGAGGAGCAGAAAAGAAGTGTTCAAAAATCATCATCATGGTTTCTTTCAATCATGAAAATCATTGTTGCATCATTCATATCTGTTGGCTTTCTAGCCACGTTAGTAGTTAGCAAGTTGGCCATAGTTGGCATTGGACAGCAATTCAATACTACATGTAAGCTTTTACCAGATAAGTGCATTCGTGGCCATCGCAATGAAGCACCATATATCATAATGGTTCTGGTGATGATGGTGCCCCAGTTTCTTACATTTGTCACTGCACTTGCTTCATCAGCATTTCGTACTAATGAACCATGGCCAACCAAAACAGCAGCAATTGGGGTATTTACATTTTGTTAATTTTCTCATGCTTAGTTTTTCAAGTGACCAATATCTCAGATTAGTTTTTCTTTGCCGCAATAACTAGCTTATATTTGGAAATTTGTTTATAGCTTCTAATATGGGATGTTTACGTATGCAGGAGAATTTTTGAGAAAATTCCTTATAGTTAGAAATCCTTATATTTTAGGTGACATCTTTTATGCATGACACCTAAGACCTGTGGGGAACATTGTAAGGTAGCTTACACTGCTACTGACTTGGGCTAGTTCTTCAAATCTAAAAGACAGAGAAAATGCATATCATGGTATATTTTTAGGCACAAGTTTCTTGACATTACAAATTCTCAAAATATATTGTCAGATTTTACATCATCATCGATAAGCATGCTCTAGTCAGAGTGTGGCTTCTTGAACAGTAGCATGAAACTCAGTTCTTCTCTCACCAAATTAAGTTGCCTTCTTCATGGAGCCAAAGATATTTTCATTTCTTTAATGTTTCACCCAAGGAACTTTCAGTATTTTCAAACGAGCGGTAAAGAGTATTTTCAAAAGCTGTTTCTTTATAATTGCCTTTCACAGAACCCACACCTCACAGGCATAGGCTGCTATGGGGAAAACTCATGCTCTGAGTATTTTTAGCCCTGCCATATTTTGTTTGTGCTTTGAAGTGCTTTCAAACCCATAGCTAGTCGTCTTCTGATTTCTGTGCTGTTGTCACCGTCCCTTTTTACTTTAGCACCAAGATTAACGAAATATTCTACTTCTTTGAATGCCGAACCATCAATTTTTATTTCATCATGGTTGTCCCTTGCACTTCTAGATACAGTCATTACTTAAGTCTTTTTAGCGTACATCTTCAAATCAGGTTCCTCACTATGCTCTTTCACTAATTTCATATAACAGCCTAGACCAGCTCTTGATGTCGCCATTAGTACCACATCATCTGCGTACCACATGTCACCCATGGGACATCCTCAGATGATAGGAAGATCAAAGATTTGCGATTTGTTTTCATTAATAACTTCTAGCATGATGTTTTCCGTATAGATATTGAATAGTGATGGAGAGAGTATACATCCATGTCAGACCCCATTCTTGCTTGGAAACCAATCTGTTGTTCTGCATTCCAAACAAACAGCAGAATGTTGGTCTTGATACAATGCCTCAATTAGTTTTACAACATGCTTTGGGAACCCCATATTTAACATTATCTGCTACAACTGCTTATATGAGGCATTGTCAAAAGCCTTGGAGTAATCAACAAAACAAATGTAGAGATCTTGTTGCATTTCCAAACATTTATTGATCAGTAATTTGAAGCTAAAGATATGATCTCTTGTTCCTCGGTGCTTCATATAACCTGCCTGGGATAGGGAAATCTCTTCCTTTAGTCTTAGAATCATTCTGCCCAATAGGATATTTAACATTGTTTTACTAGCATGACATATAATCTTGATATAAGATATCTGTTATTTTCACAGAGCAGCAAATCATCTTTCTTCAGGATTGCTAAAAGCTGTATAAATCGCTACAATACTCTTTCCAACGGTTCATGATTTCATTTGCTTTAGTTAAGGTTCTTCCATCTTTGCTCTTGATAACATTCAATTTCGGTCAGAATTGCGTTGTGAGATTTTAACCTCTGTGAACATTGCCTTGCTGTTGCCAGCTCTGTGATGTGATTCGGTAAATGCTGCTCTTTTGCTGTAGATGATCTTTTCTTATCTCTTCGGCATGCCCTCTGAATTGCAGCTGTGGTTTCATGATACTCGGCACTTGCAATGAATGCCCTCTTGATTTCATATTTCTGCTTTTCTCTATAAGATCCAGTGTTTCATTTGACATCAACTTGGACTTTTTCAATCTCTTCTTTGGCAAATGTGCTTTTTCTGCTTTCAGTGTTATTTCTTTTATCTGTTCCATTAACTCATTCGGTGACACAGCCACGTAGCTGCAGGGGGCATGGGGGGCTGTGCCCCCCCAAACGAAAATTTTGACAACAGCTTGCCCCCTCTGACTACAGTTTTTCTAAATGATATTTTGAAAATTTGGCATATTTAAAATTCCATGACCTTGATTTGGTCCAAATATATCTGTTTGTTATATATTTGTTTTCTTGTTTGCCTGCCCCCCTCAGGTATGGTTCTTGCTCGAGTCCCCCCCCCCCTAGCCGACACCTACAGCTACGTGGTTGCAGTGACAGTTCTTCGGAAATAGCGGCTAACCTCTCAAAACTATTCTGTACTTCTACAGCATAAGAAATCGGTATACTACTGAGATCAAATCTAACCACAGGAGGAGCCTTCTTTATGGTTTTCACTTTACAACGAACGTCCATGTACAGTAACTGATGGTCCGAGCTGCAGTCAGCCCCTGCAAATGTACTATTTTCTTAACGCCGGATACTGATATAATCAATTTTTTTTCGGGTGCTCCCGTCTTAGGACGTCCAAGCTCACAGGCGGCGTTTTTGGTGTTTAAATAAAGTGTTGCTGTGTTGCAGATTGTCATTTCATTTGAGATAGCAAAGGATAGCAGATTATATCCCCTCTTTTCTCTGTTTCCCAGACCATTTCCCTGTTGCTGTCTGCACATTCGGATCGCATCCCTCTCCTTTCTTGGCATTGAAGTCGCCCATAAGAATCAATGTTTCGTTTGCAGGGATTCTGTCGAGTACTTGTTGCACACTTTCATAAAACCGCTCAATTTCCTCTTCGTTTGCTGCACTTGTTGGAGCATATACCTGCACAATCGTGATGTTATTTGATCGACCTTGTAATCTGACTGACAGCACCCTATCATTCACGGGGTTATATCGCAGTTTCCCTGCGTTCATGTTTCGAATGTTCCATGTTGCAATTCTCATAATGTTTTGTAGACGTACTCGTGTGTCTTCCGCGCTGTTTTTTTTATCAGGGCCTGAACTTTCCAGCGGCTTTGATTCATACCCGCCATATTGAATAGTGATACTAACACTAGAATTTGTCCCTTCGCCAGTTTACGGCCTGGCGGTTCCACTATCCACTCTCATATCTGGTGCAAATTCATTTTGTGCTGCCATTAAGTGTGTAGGCGAAGAAAAAAAGGAAAATAATGCGATAGGTCGCCATTACTTTTCACATTTTCGCAGTACCCATCAAGTAGGTCGAAGCGCCAGGCTAAAAGTACCTCCCACAATGCTTGGGCAACTGAACTGACGGTCTATCACCAAACGCTGCCCGCAAGCTCTACGTTCTGCTGTCAACGAGGGACCCTAATCCCTATACCTCAGGGATCCGCTCAGCTTTATGGCGCCGACCGCATTCGCCAGTCGCGAAACAGGTGCCGGCGGTCATTTGTGTGCACTTTTTAGGTTTTAGTTTGGACTGTCTAAACCCACACACAACCTCCCAGTTCCGCCTAAATGCAGTTTAAGCCTGGCATCGGCGACACTCTTAACCTGGGCCTTCTAGGGAGCCTTTTGACAACAAACCGTGCCTAACGAGTTGGCATGGTGATTGATAATGAGTTTTGATTGGCTAGTGTGGGTCTATATAATCAAATGTTTCTTGATTAGTGGGTTTCTCTATGGATTCTCAAACAGCCAACCAAATTTATCCACCATGCTACCCGTTTTACTTTTGTAGGGAATCATTGGTGCTGTAGCAGAGGTGACAGGTCTCTGTTTGTTTACATTGGTAATCGCAACCGAAGAATGCATTGCCAGCAGAGTCATCATCTACATGAATGGGATATACTTGTTGCCAACTGGTTGGCAACTGCTGAAGCAAGTTAGGAAGCGCTGCTCCAACCAAAAAGCAAATGGACATGATGATTATCATGCATTCGGAGAGTACCAACAAAATGATGATGATGATGAAAATGGTCTTCTATCATGGAAGCATACTGCAGGTTTGGTTCTCTCTCTCCTTTTTGCAATTGGTGGGCTTGCATATGCGGTTTATTCAAAGATCCAAGAACCAGATACAGAAAATTTGGTAAGAATGATTTGAAAATGGCATGATAAATTTCAATGTAAATATTGCAAATGGAATTATGGCATTTCTTCTTGTTTTGTTAGAAATTTTGTAACACACATATGTTTTATAAACAACACCACCAAGAAAATATTCAATTCATCCATTCATTTTCGAATATTTATGCAATGTGACCTTACAGATCTTTTGTCCTTACAGTATTAAACTTTTAGAGTTTAGTTAATACGTTGGATTACAATATATGAAACCGAAAACATTCCTAATTAGTAATCCCAAATGAAAGTTGGCAACATTTCTTTCAATTTTTCCACAAGCATGGCTTTCATTTTACTTGAAAATGAGTCGGAGGCCTGTAGGACGTCAAAAAATGCCAGAAAAAAGTTTCAGTTTAATAACTTGCAAAGTTAAAATGTTGTAGGGCTCTACCTAATAGAGTACCCCAGTCCAAAAATAGCTTTTTAGGGAATTTTTGAAACTTGGTATGGATTTCATCTTATTCAGCATATTGGATTGTGTACTTGTACCAAAATTCATGCTATTTTCATAATATAAACAATTCTACTGCTCTGCGTCTGTACTATAATGAAACTTCAGAAAGCAAGTTGTTTGACAAAGCAAAAAGTTTCAACAACCACAACTTTTTGCATATAGGTAAGATCACATTGCTCTTTTTATATATTTTGATCAGTTTTGCAAGCTTTTTCTGATGGTATCGTCAGATTTTAAAAATTCGAAAGATGATATTTTGTGACCGTGCATTTTTCATGCTTTCATGCTGCCAGAATATTCCCAAGGCAAATACTCTTGTGATTCAAACTTTGAAATCTTCAGTTAGGCAGGTTGCTAGATGGTTATGCGAAATTCTCTTTCTTTATGGCTTCCTTCAAGGGAATTAACAAAGACACAAATTTCGTTGGACTGATGAAAATATCAGTTTGGGAGTACTTCATGTAAGAGTCTCCCTGATCCCCCGTCAAGCCGGGTAACTCGGATCCATGTACAGCCCCTTAAAGTGCCACTGAACTAGAAAAATCAAAAATTTTTTTATTGATGTTCTAAGTCAAGTCGGTGCTCCTGAATCCGATGCTGAAGTTCGCTTTTCGGAATTTTGAAGTGTTTTGAAGCTACAACGCTTCAAAGTTGCGATTTTCAAGACTTTTTGTGCGAAAGTTTGTGCGCGGTCTGTGAGGAATTTCAGGAATGTGTGACGCATTAACGTTTATAAGTCGCGGAAGTGATGCGGGCTTCAGTACTGAAGACTGTATTTCGAGTGCGATAAAAAAACAAAAAAAACGTGAAGTGGATGGAAATAGTGCGATACTTGTGCTCTAAATATCACTAGCTATCTAACTACAAGACACGTGCAAGGTATTTTCTTGCGAAAATTTCGAGCCCATACGAAATGAGCAAACTTTTTGCGTGCAGTTTTTACCAAGACTTGATGCCGATCATTTACCTTTTGTGAATTATTGAGCGTATCGAATAAGAATGCTTTTACGAACAGCTTTATAAATTATGAATACAAGTGAGCAAACTGATCAAGGGAAAAGTTGATCTATTATAGAACCACACAAATTGCACATTTTTCGGCGCTTTTCCCACTTTCCAACTTGCGTTGCCACTGTCAAAGCATCAGTTATTGCCAGGGCCGTCAAGATGGGAGATAAGTTGCCCCAGAACCTCGTGGTCAGGGGACCTCAAAAAGTAAAGAAGTTCATTTTAAATGGAATTGATTAAAAGTCCATAAGTAGCACGGTGGGATATTTTTAAGCGTCTATTCACACCCCATCTTTTTGGCGTATCAAACTGCCTATCTCCATCAAGTTTCATGCTGGTATCACAATCTAATGGTTAAATTGTGACAATTACTGCTAAGAGGTTTGGAATCTAGTATCCAAGTCTATAAATAGCACAAGGGAAATTTTTCGGCGTCTATTCGCATCCTATCCTTTTCAGCGTATCAAACTGCTCATCTCTACAAAGTTCCATGCTGATGTCGCAATCTAAAAGTTAAATTATGACAATCACTCCTTAGAGGTCTGGGACCTGGTACCCCAGTCTATAAATAGCATAAGTGGTATTTTTCAGCGTCTATTCGCTTCCTAACTTTTTGGCGTATCAAACTGCCTTTTACTACCAAGTTCCAAGCTGGTATCGCGATCTAATGGCTAAATTATGTCAATTACTGCTTAGAGGTCTAGGACCTGGTACCCCAGTCTATAAATAGCACAAGGGGGATTTTTCAGGGTCAATTCATATCCTATCTTTTCGGCGTATCAAACTGCCTTTTACTACCAAGTTCCATGCTGGTATCGCGATCTAATGGCTAAATTATGTCAATTACTGCTTAGAGGTTTGGAACCTAGTACCCCACTCTATAAATAGCACAAGGGGGATTTTTCAGGGTCAATTCATATCCTATCTTTTTTAGCGTATCAAACTGCCTATTACTACCACGTTCCATGCTGGTTTCGCGATCTAATGGCTAAATTATGTCAATTACTGCTTAGAGGTTTGGAACCTAGTACCCCACTCTATAAATAGCACAAGGGGATATTTGTCAGCGTCTATTCACACCCCATCTTTTTCGGCGTATCAAACTGCCTATCTCTATCAGGTTTCATGCTTGTATCATGTTTTACACAATTTGTAACTTTTTATCTTCTTACAGCCCTCACTATGGCTGAATTGACTATATAAATCTGAATGCGTCACTCGCCCCAGCCTCTTTTCGCACGACCTACTCGCAAAAGAACCCCATAAACCCCTATTTGTGGGCTCCAAATTAAAAAACTAAACTTTTTTTCGAAATCAGCGATGATTAGTCTACCAGAATCAACAATAAAAGGAATTTCATTTTTTTCAATTCAGTGGCACTTTAAAATGATTATCGGCAATCATTTAGATAAAATGTCAACCATCTTAATTCCGTATTTGGTATTGTCGGCTATCATGGTACCAGGCTGCTTTTCCCAAAATGTACTAAACAATAACATCCCTGATAAACAGTACTGACTCCTGGTATACCACCATGGACAAAAGAGAGGTGAATCTGACTATTTCTCTCAACCTGAAAAATGTGTTAGAGGAATATTGGCGACTGGTTTACATCATATTTGCAAAATAGGAAACATTTTTGTACAGTGAACTGACAAAAGTCATCGGCTAAAATGGTAACCTTTAGCATTCCTCAAGGATCCTACCTTGGTCCACTCCTGTTCATAATCTACCTATATGATTTCGAAACAAGTCTAGAACTATCGAAAGTCAGCATGTACGCGGATAATACACATGTTACGATAACATCTTACGATCTTGAAAATCTACTTGAGAATAGTCAAAGAGAGCTTCTCAGAATTTCAGAATGGATGAGAATTAATAAACTGACTGCCGATCCTAAGAAAAGTGAATACAAGCTGATAACGTTGTCCCCGAGAAGTCAATAAGATGGATGTCTCTGAACCGCTAATATTAAACAACTCGAAAATAAAGCGCGCAAAGCAGACAAAAACACTTGGAATCATCGTAGATCATGGTTTGAACTGGGAACAACATCTCAAAGTTGTTAAAGGAAAGGTTCGTGGAGGTCTTTCATCCCTTAAAAAACTGAAAAACCTTCTGCCACAAAAACAACTGGATAATGTATATCGGGCCCTTATAGCAAGTCACTTGCGCTATGCAAATGTTATTTGGGGAAGTATTCCTAGTTCTATAATAAAGATTCTGCAAAATCTGCAGGACCGAGCCCGAACTATTGAAGAAGAAACTGTAAGGACGTCCATATTCCAAGATGTAACCTTGAATATGTGAAAAAAGGCTTCCACTATTCAGCACTTACTGCGTGGAACAGCATTCCTATCTCAATCAGGGAACTGCCAACCCTCCCGCAGTTCAAAAGAACATTAAAATCACACTTCAAGAGCTGAAGTTAAATCAAAACACGATTCCCCGGAAGAGCAGCAAATAGGTCCTAACAATTTATTGTATTAAGATTGTAAATTTAATTCAATTAGTTTTTTTGATATACTGAAGTGATTTTTGTGTATAAATAATTCAACATGAAATATGAATTCCATTATGATAGAGTTTTTAACTAGAATTTAATGAAGAACAGTTTCAAACGCCTTTTTTGGAAATAGGCCTATAGTTTGATCGCTCGTCGGATGAGCCTTCTTTAAAGATGAATGCAAACCTAGCTTTTCAATACCGCCCAATACCGCTTTATCTTAAATCGCCAGTGGCTGCTTCGTTAAAACATGACCTTGATCTACCTATGACCTTTTTATTCGCAGGGACTATTTAGGCGCACGGCTCCCATTATTATGTTTATGGTCCTGCTTTCCTTTGCTTGGTGTCCGAAGATACGGAAGCTTCAAATTCGCGCCAAAGGAAATGCTGAGGTATACGATGAAGACATATTTGAAGATGACGACAGACATCTATATGACTGGCAAAGGATACGCGTCAAAACTGCCCGCGAGCGAATGACTGTTATCACGTCACTGGTGAAGCTTTGTCTTACGCCGTTTATGGCCGCCGCTTTTGCCAAGGCTTTCGAGCTCAATGTACATTTCAAAGACCTTAAGTCTGGATTCGAGGAACTCAATGAAGACAGATATCTGCTGGCCATGCTTGTCGCTCAAGTCGTTTGCAGTTTCTTTGCCAAAGTATTTGCTTACTTAGCATGTACCTTGGGTCTGCAGAAACTCTGCTTCGCGTCACCGCTGATTATATCAACACCCCTGAGCATCATTTTGGTCGCCACCAAAGGCTGCAATGCCCTGGGCCTCTGTAATTGTCAAACGAACTTGGGTAACGTATTACAGATTGTCATACTTGCTGGTTTGTTGTGGCTGGCACAGATATTCTCGACGGTGATTTACATTTGGCAATCGCAGCAGTTCCAAATGGCCAAAGAGGACACATTGTTCTGGCTCCCTGGTTATGACGGTATTCTGCTTCCTTCTTTTTCTTTACATCTTCATTACTATTGTAACTGTGCCTGAAAGAGCATAATGAAATACCCTGGGCCTCTACGTGTGCAAAACAAGTTAAATGTACCACGAATTGGCTAAGATATGACCATATGAGCACAGGCTCTTTCCCCACCTTTGTTGTTTGGTTAAGTCACGTAATCTGTTAGCAAATCTTTGATAAGCCATATCGTTATAATTTTGGCATATAACGGATTAGTATTGCAAGGTGTTCATTTGTGTTATGTGGTGAAAACTGAAAAATTCTAGAAATAGATTTTAAATTAAAGTCAGACTTAAGAGCTCTATTACAATAAATTTGAATTTTTTTAGTGGCACAACGTTATCAGTGGATTAAGCTTTTTAGGAGATCATTTTTCAAAAGTTCTAAATGACTATTATTGCTAAATTTAAGTATTATTACTAAACTGATAAATTTTAAGAGAACTTGCTGTCTATTAAAATATCGGATGTGCCCAATGTTGCACCATTTAGCCGTGGCTTTAAACTTTGCCATAGAAAGCCTGTTATTTCCATGGAAAAGATGTTTGCTGAATATTATTAAAGCTAATTCCCAACATAAGCCTTATTTCAGTTTCCTTGTATAAAGCCCGAAAGGATCATATATTTATTATGAGTATCTGACATGAATCAATTTGACCACACCGGTCATCTTAACATTACAAAAAACAATATTGTTCGGATATAAGAATGCAATTGAAATTTTTTTGCAGTTTAAATTTGGCTAGGATTGTAGCTACGTATCGTGAATCGTCAATTTAGGCCCCACCTTAGAATAAACCCCCCTTTTTTGTTAACCCTAAACTCCAAATCACTTTAAACAATTACCCCCACTCTCTCTTGAATAAGCCCCCCCTCGTAAGGGTCGACCTTTTTCTACTCCACAGGATGTTAAACTGCGACAAGTGTAGTAATGGTTCTTCGCAATGAAAATTATGCCTATTTGTATTAAAATTTGAAAATGATATGAAGCTAAATTTTTAACGAATGACGTAGCGCAACTAGCCTTGTTCCGGCGTACCTACTTTTCATTGAGATCTCTGTAAGTCCCGTAAGCAACTTTATTACATCTTAACCCATTCAGAAATATATAGGATGTGTCTTTGGTTGTGCTTATAGTCAAATTTATTTTCACCAGTGAAAAGACTGTTTCTGCTTGATAATTCATTCTAGATTTTTTCAGTGATATAATACAGAGTTCTTCTTTTCGTCAGGTGTACTTACCGAGCAAAGCCTCATTTTGAACAGGAAGAACGAGGCTACCGATGACTATTACGTCAGTTACAGACAGCTCGTCAAGGACAGTACAATTTACATATGCACGACGATGTACCACGAGGCTGATTTTGAGATGGAGCAGCTTCTTCACTCTATTGCTGGAGTAGATGCTGCTCGAAAAGAATCAAAAAGACAATTTGAGTCTCATATTTTCCTTGATGACGGCGTTCGTGGTAGGGTAAGTCGCCCTATCTCTTTAAGGTGTTATCATTAAAGCATATTCATGATGGAGAAGACGAGAGAATTTCAAATTCAATATCCTCAACCGACAAATTCTATCTTGATGTTTTTTAATTTTCTTTGATTACTTAACACCAAGCCAGCTCCAATTCAGTCAATTCTTCACTAGGATTTTTTAAAGTAAAAAAAATTCAAAGCTGTTCATTTAAGTTTAACTCTTTTAAAAGGTTCCTTATGCTGAACAGCGTAATCACTTTTTAGCGCAACAGAATGTAAAATTTATTTACTAATGCAATTCTTTGCGAATTCGCCCCAGCTATTCGAAAATTGTCGCATTGAGAAATTCACAAGAAAGATGATCAAGTACCAGCTTGATTAGTTTTGAGACAATGCCAGTTAATAGGTACATTCTATACAAAACTTTGTTTCTGTGATATAATGTGCCGGTGAAGAAAATCCTGCATCTTTTCTCAATCTAAGAAGCCAAAAGTTCAAAATCCTCCGAGAAAACAGTAGAAATAAGGCGTGGTGATAATAGCATATTGATAATAGCATATTGAAATTATCTGTTCTCGATGACCCTCCTTGCTATCGCCAGCCATGTCACTGCAATTTGTTGTTTGCTGATTCTTCGAAAATCTTTTACGTAGGTTATTGTTTACATTTGATTTAAGCCTGGTTTCCATATAGCCGTAAGGCTGCCTGCGGCTGCCTGTGACTGCTTTCTGCCATCTTCCATCATCCATCCCTACGGTATCGCCGGCAGATAATTCTTTATGGAAACACTTTCTAACGGTACCGCAGGCAGCTGTTTGAAGTGCCGTAAGACTGCCGGGAGAGCCGGGAGAAAGTTGAACGAGTTCAAATTTTCCCGGCTCTTACGGCAGCCTCCCGGTACCGCCGGCAGACAAATTACAAATGGAAACGCCTTGCCTGCGGCTGCCTGCGGCATTCTTTTGTTCAAACGGATCATGTGATGTGCAAGAACCAATTGAAACAGGGCTTTGTTGTTGAATTTTGCCCGCCAGTTTTTCCCGCTCAAACTTTACCTAGTTACTGGCATAGTTACCGATACCGCAGGCAATTGAAAACAGAACGTTTCCATTTGCCGGCGCTACTGTAAGGGTGGAAGATGGAAGATGGCAGAAAGCAGTCGCAGGCATTCGCAGGCAGCCTTACGGCTATATGGAAACCAGGCTGAACGAGTTCAACTTTTCCCGGCTCTTACGGCAGCCTCCCGGTACCGCCGGCAGACAAATTACAAATGGAAACGCCTTGCCTGCGGCATTCTTTTGTTCAAACGGATCATGTGATGTGCAAGAACCAATTGAAACAGGGCTTTGTTGTTGAATTTTTCCCGCCAGTTTTTCCCGCTCAAACTTTACCTAGTTACCGGCATAGTTACCGATACCGCATGCAATTGAAAACAGAACGTTTCCATTTGCCGGCGCTACTGTAAGAGTGGAAGATGGAAGATGGCAGAAAGCAGTCGCAGGCAGTCGCAGGCAGCCTTACGGCTATATGGAAACCAGGCTTTAGGCGTAGTAAATTGATAAGTTATGAAAGGTATATTTATATTATATATGTACCTTTTTCATATTTGATTCTGTTACGTAGGGCTGCGCTTGTGCATAAGATTCAAGGGACCTTTTCATAAAAAAATAATTTTTAATCTGTAAAAACTGTGAATTAAGTCAAGTTATAAGTAATATTTTAAAACTTGGAATAACATGAAATTAGAATTAACAATTAGAAGAAAGAACCCAACGTTTCTAAAATATAAATATATGATATCTCAAATGTATATTTTAAATATAAATAGTGGATGCCTGCTTTGACGTGGCTGAGAGGCTTATCCGTCTGATGATAACGATGTAATGAAAAGGTAACAGGGATAAAATAAGCTATTTTTTATGCATGGAAAAACATTGTCAATAAAAGGGGATAGTTCCTTGTTCACCCTTTTGGAGATAGCTCTTTTTAAAGGGTATTGTGAATAACACAAATGATACAAATGAATTGGCACAAATGATGAAAAACAATTTGATTTTTGTAGGTTTTATTGATATACGCTTGTTTTTAGCACTGTTTCTGCTCTAGAAAGAAAGTAGATCTTTATCCAAAGACACCACCCTAAAAAGACTGAAACCCCCCGTACCTCGGAAAAGCCCCCCAAACGGCCTGATCAACACTCAGATTAGAAATCTACAACAAAAACTACCCTAGAAAAAGGAGGTCTCGTAAAGTCTTCTTCTAGGGGGTAATGCTCCTCCTCCAGCCACTGGACTATTAACCTTATTTCTGTACTTTTAAGTATGCAAAGCCGGAGGGTTCCTTTACCCTTGAAATGCACTGCATCATGATTCACATACCACTGAAACGTACTACTGATCTAGTAAAACAAAATACTAGAGAATTTCGGTGAGCTATTTTCAAGTTAAGAGAACTAATTAATTTTAACGTTTTACCCGTCTATTTTTGCAAATTTTATCTCTTTTTAAATTTATACCGAATTTTAAATTTTAAACTCTTAAACCTAACAAACTTAGTTTTTCTCTTGTTACCTGATTGCTGATTAAGTTACTTATGTCGCTAGGTTTTAGTAATGCTGTCTTTGTCACCAAATTGGTAGTTTTGAAGTTATTACTTTTGGAACTGGGTATATATTTTCAATCGTCTTCTTTCGAACCCTTATATTCTGACGTTTCATACTCCTTGGAGAGTCAGACGAAAAAGCTTTAAGTAGTTCGTTGTGAGATATTTGCTTTTCTCAAAGCCATTTTCAAGAAAACCAATCTTTAGAACGAGAGAAACCCATTGATTTTCTCCGATTGGATTTCAAGACAAAAAATAAGGTTTCCTTTTATCTGGGATTGGGCTGGGGGCATTGAACCCCTCGACACGTTTCTTGAAGAACTAAATTAGTTTTTCACGAAGAACTTCGCAATGCTCTGGTTGACCGTTGCAATGCTCTGGATGTAGCTACATGACCCAGAAATTCTAAAAATATATTTTGGTGATGTCATCACTCTTTTACTGTTTATTTCTCCTCCTCTTCTATCAACCGTATCAACCTTGTAAGAGATTAATAGTTCATCGACATTGATAGAGTACTGAATTTTTTCAGGCGATAAAGACGTATGCTCTACAACTGATCTCGTTATTCCCAAAGACACTTGGTGTTGAAATTAAAAATGTTGGAAACAAGTACGAGACTCCTTATGGGATGCAACTGAGATGGAGGCTGTCTAGCGGCATGCCGTTTGTTCTTCATTTAAAAGACAACGAAAAGGTATTATTTCTACGCCTTTCACTCTTGTCATTTCTACATCTACATTTGCAATACTCCAGTCGTAGTGGCGTTTTGGGGTAGTGGCGTAATAGCATTGTTGTGGCGTAGTATTGTTGTGAAGTAGTAGCGTTGTGGCGTAGAAGCGTTGTGGCGTAGAAGCGTTGTGGCGTAGTAGCGTTGTGGCGTAGTAGCGTTGTGGCGTAGAAGCGTTGTGGCGTAGAAGCGTTGTGGCGTAGAAGCGTTGTAGCGTAGAAGCGTTGTGGTGTAGAAGCGTTGTGTCGTAGAAGCGTTGTGGCGTAGAAGCGTTGTGGCGTAGTATTGTTGTGAAGTAGTAGTGTTGTGAAGTAGTAGCGTAGAAGCGTTGTGGCGTAGAAGTGTTGTAGCGTAGAAGCGTTGTAGCGTAGAAGCGTTGTGGTGTAGAAGCATTGTATCGTAGAAGCGTTGTGGCGTAGAAGCGTTGTGGCGTAGTATTGTTGTGAAGTAGTAGTGTTGTGAAGTAGTAGCGTAGAAGCGTTGTGGCGTAGAAGCGTTGTAGCGTAGAAGCGTTGTAGCGTAGAAGCATTGTATCGTAGAAGCGTTGTGGCGTAGTATTGTTGTGAAGTAGTAGTGTTGTGAAGTAGTAGCGTAGAAGCGTTGTGGCGTAGAAGCGTTGTGGCGTAGAAGCGTTGTGGCGTAGAAGCGTAGTGAGGTAGTGGAGCAGTGGCCACTGGCAAAGTAGCAAGAGCCATTAATGGCTGTGCTGGGTTCAAAACTGAACATTTTAGAAAAATGTAGTTATCGGTAAGAGCATATGAATTATAAGAAAGTAGTAGATGATAAATAACATTGCAGTATTCAAGATGAGGTCAGACATGTAACTTGTATTTTTTATCTAAGGGGGGACGAGGCAGGTACTTTGAAAAGTACTTGATCATCCCAATAGCTCTGTTTGCTTTTGTAAGATCATCCTTTCAATGTGTTGAGAACGATAATCATCTGTACAGGATTAGACCGAGATGCTTATGTGCATCAACATTAGTTACTGGTGAATTCTAAAACTGAATTGGAGGATGATTGTTAACGTCATAATTAGAAGTCATCTTCCATTGGAATACCCAATTTTTTATCAAATGAAAATCGTGATTAAGGTCGTTCGGAGTAGAGTGAAGATCGGTGAAAACAGAGAACAGTTATGTATCATCTGCAAGAATACGAGAGTTTGTCTTCAAACCTTCCGGAAGGTCATTAATATAAACGGATCCAAGAAAAGCAGGATACCAAGGATGGATCCTTGAGGCACTTCAGCATCTGTATTTTTTCGAAAAAGAGCATTTATCATTGATAACTATTCTTTGCTGTCAATCGCTGTAAAAACAGATAATGACATTAAGTATGTTTCCCTTAATTCAACACCTACGACGCTAAAAAATCAAGCCTGAAACAGACACTCTAAAACGCTTTGGATCTATCAAGATAAACTGATCTCACGTCTAGGGAAGGATTACAGTCAAAGGCGCTGTATATTTCATGAGATATAGCAAGCAACTTATTGATTGTTGAATTGCCTGGTCTAAACCCTGATTTTCTATGAAAAAGGAGATTATGCTGTTTCAGATATAAGCTCCAGAATACCAGTTTCTCTTTAATTTCTTATAAATGGGAACAATACTGGTTTTTTCGTATGAGTTGAAAAGCACCAAAGTGAAAGCAGTTTTGGAAAATCAGAAAGAAATCGTCTCAAGGCAAAAGTTTGCTCACGAAGCCAGGTCAAATAATCCTGTGATCAAATAAGAATGCTGATAATATATTGCTTAGTTCGTTGATTTCCTTGCAAAAAATTAATTGCCATGGATAAATAAAAATGATTGACTTTCTGAGGTAGGTACGAGTTGGCGCCACTTTCACGCCTCTTTATTCATTCAGCCTCTTTGTAGAATAGAAATTTAACCTCGAATTGAATGTGGATAAAAGTTATCAGATATAAGATATAAGATATATCCGGATAACCTGTTGGCACTTCGCTAGATAGCTATCCGAAGTAATAAATCCACTTTCCGAGGTGATCTAACTTTGTTCGGATAACTGCTCGTCGTGCAGAAAGATAGGGTTCAGTGTAAACGTGACGCCTATCCCAACGAATATTGACAAAGTAAGAGTTTAAACAGCACATTGTAAACAGTGCTGTTTACAATGTTGAACTTCCAGACCAACCTGGTGGAGGTTTATGATGATAAAAATACCGACGAAGAAATAGATGAAGAAGATTGGTTTTACCAGAGATGTAATTAGTTAAGTGGAAAATTTAGGGTGAGAGAGAGAACCCTAACCCGGGAGAGAAACCCTAAATCTCTGGGAAAACCAGTCCTGCTTGCCTTTTTTAAACTTCGATAGTATACCGTATTTCCTTGATTAAGCGCTCCTTCAAATAATTGCCCCTCGGATAGGCGCCCCCTGAAGAAGCCAAAGTTTTAAATAAGCATTCCTCGAAAAAGCGCCCCGCGCCTCTGATAAGCAAAAGTTCAAAATAGATTCCCTGAACAAAACAATGTACAAAACAACAACAACTTTCGATGGTCGATAAAGGCAAGGCAAAACCAAACAATTTTTCTCTTTTTCTGGACCCAGTACAGATGCTTTGATCACGTTTGTCTCTACGTTGTTCAAGAAGAATTTGAGCAGGAATGACAATTCCATGGGAATGTGCCCTACAAGGGTAAAGGTGTGGGTATTTTAATTAGATATGTCTCTGTCTACTTTAAAGATACGTGTAGATTTTATTTTTAGAAAAGTTCGTTTTCTGTCGATTTCTCGAAACTCCTATGGGCGCCCCACTCGAATAAGCGCCCCACAATAGGGCTGAAATTTATAATAGCCCCGGGACGTTTAATCTCCGACGTTTAATCTCCGACGATCGACGAGGAAATACGGTAGTTGGCTTCCTTTGTTTTTTTTTTCAAAATGGAATGCATTGAAAAACTTCAAATTTGTTAAAGCCCCCGTGCATTCATAAGTTGTTTGAACGAGAGGAAAATTGAAGCACTAATGACTGATCACAAGACAAAGAGGTTAAACAAGGTCTAAACAAAAAGGTTCTAAGATCGGTATTTGAAATGAATGCGTGATGCTGCGTCATTTTAGCGCGTCACCAAGGTTTGTTTATACATAACATGGTTTATGGTGTAAGTGAAGGAAGCACTCAAATGTCTACATTCAACACAACTACGCTGTTACCCAATGTAACGCAGAGCCCTAGTCAAGCGTACCTCTCGAAAGTGAATTGGTACTACAGTGCCAGGTTCTGGCTTTCTTTTGGTCTTGTTGGACTAGTTACAAACATCCTAGAGTTGATTTCAATCATTTACCAACGCAAGCAAAAAAAGGTTTTTGGTGTGACGCTGCTAAGTTTATGCATTGCTGATGTTCTTGGCAGCCTGTCATTCGCGATCGTTGGTCTAACACGAATCTTGGAGTACGATGGAGCTTTGATAATATCCATTTTGCCCAACACGAGCCTCGCTGGTATATGGAAAGCTGGCCATGCATGCTTATTTTTTTCCGTTGGAACTTCATTTGTGCACGTTATAATCGTGGCTATCCAAAGGTTTTTTGCTGTGTTCCTACCTATCAAGTTCAAGACCCGTTTCCTCTATAGACATTGTGTGACAATTTTGGGCCTTGTTTGGTTTGCTCTTTTCGCTGCTGGAGTTGTTGGATTTTTCTACTTTGAGGCGATTTGGTATATATCTTATGTGCTTACATTGGTGGTGTGTTTTATTATGATTCTCTGCTATACAGCAATCGTGTTAAAAACATTTTTGAAATCGCGGTCCCGCTACAGGCTTTCCAAATCCAAACCGAATAAGACAAACGATCAAACCCAGAAAGTTCTCAGTGTATCAGTTGGTGTGACCATGGCTTTCCTCGTCTGCACATTGCCACATGCGATTTTCTATTTGTTTGTAGCGGACATATCAACATTAGGTTTCTATCACACCGTTAATTCCATGATAAGCATGAACCCGTTCCTGGACTCCGCGGTTTATTTCGTTTTTTATGACCGTTGCATAAGAAATGTACAGAAAACAGGAGCCCGCCCACGTTCAAAGAATGTCTCAATAAAGGAAAACATACACCTTTCGAACAGAGTGTCCCCTTTCCTCACTGTGAAAAATGATAAAGCAAAATTGAATGATTCCTCGACGTCTGTTCGACAACTTGTTGGAAACTAAACGAGATTGCAGACGAAGACCACGAGAACTGTTCTAGCCTAAAATATTGACCAATTTTCCTTGTCATACTGTGCTTTCGTCACTTTTCAGGAAGACTTTTAATACTAGGTCCGAAAAGCAAGACCGAAGATTTCGTATTTAGCTGATTAGTTTGTAATTTAGCTGTAATATTTTTATTGTTATCAGAAATATTGAGGAATTTTTATTTTTTCATTAATCATGAAATATGTTAAAGAACGAAGAATGATATATGAAATGTTTTAGAGTTTTGTTTAGCAATAGTTTGTAACTGTAACCTAAAGCAAGCCATACTCATAACTAAGTTGATTGATTTGTTATCAATACGCATAGCCACCATACTGTAATATATTTTTTCTGCGCGGAGAACGCCAGAGCAATAGTTTTGAAATCATACTGAAATTGTGCGGGGAAAGCCTTATAGACCAAGCAAAGACCAAACTTATAGCCTGGCGACCATATGAAGTATTATATTGACTTCTTGGAGCGTTCTTATTGCGTTCTTATTCCATAACAAGTCATTTGCAGAAATAACCTTAAAGTAATGTGAAGGGATCTTTTTTTAAATTTACATTTAGTCAGTATCAATATTATCATTATGCACTCCCTCAGCCGAGAAAGGTTATCAAAAGATAAAGATTAATCATCTGCTAAGCTCAACTTCACAAAAGTGAAATTGTAGAGCTTTCAACAGCAATAAGATAAAAGTACGGCTGCGAGTTTTTAAAACAAACAAATAAAGTTCTTAAGTGTGACGTCACAAAAAATCTATTT